CAGCGCCTGAAAATAGGCTAACTTCCATCAACATAACCAACGTGACCACCTGCTTGCACAGGGAGCGTGCTGGGGACTATTTTCAGGCGCTGCGTAATATCATTGCGCCTGCTGCACCCATGGTACGGGAGCAAAGTTCCTGTTGGAAAGGGGAGTTGGAAAATGAGCCTATTTTCAAAAATAGTGGAATGTTCCTTTAATCTTGTGATGACAAAGCTACATTTTCAGCAGCAAAATATTTACTGCCTAATATTTTTGTGAAATATCTCTGGAACCAAGGCTGTTAAAAGGGATCACTGTTGCACTTTATAAGGACACTTTAAGTGTCAGGATAACAGTGAGATCACCGCTAGAAGAAGGGAGTGTGGGATTGGGAAATGTTGCATGCCAGATTTAAACTTTCATTAGCCACTGGAGCACCACAGCTTAAAAAGCATGTGTGCTTTCCACTAGGCCGTGAATCAGAAACACAAGCAATTAATTTGAGGGTTTTTCAGGGTGAAAGTGCTCTCCCTGGTGGCAGCAGGTTCGTCCCTGTACAAGAAATGGCTTTACTGCTGCCAAGCCAAATGTCAGAGCTGACGTGGATCAGGGACATGTAAATGGGGTAGTTAATTGCCTCCATTGGATTTTGAAATCAAAGCTCAGTACACTGAGCTGCAAACGGAGCAGTGGAGAAAATTAAACTTCCCCAGCGAGTGACAATCAATGTAAAGTGAACAGAATGCAAAGCAAGCACTGTTTCTTTCTCTTCCACTTTAGCAGATCATTATTCTATTTCAAATACAGCAGGAATGTGTTGTTTTGGCCTGTGAGGAAATTCATCATTGATTTACTGTATCAATAACCCAATTACATTCATTAATTTAATCAGGAAATAAAGGTAATATTTGCTTTGCCCCGTGTACTGTAAAATATTGCCATGATTTTAGAATATTTAACATAAATATTAAAGTTCCTTTTGGCTGTGAACTAATTTTCTTTCAATATGTTTCCCAGTGTTACAGAACGCAATCTGTTATTTAAAACATTTTCGGTACCTTCGTTTGTTAAATTTTGTTCCTAAAAAATAACTGAATGCATTGCAGCTGAATGCATGAACACACAAAGGGGAAATGTTCTATTTACAAATTTCAGCCCCTTTCTATTTACAAATTTCCTGGAACAACATTCCTATCAACCAATCAGAATTGAGGGATAACTTTTCAGGAAATATCTGTTTTAGGCTTATAATCAGGGTTAGGTGCTTCTACACCCTTGTTAATCAGCTATCATTTCACACTGTTTTTAGGAATAAATTATGGGTAGGGTTAGGTTTAGGGGTAGGGATTGGGTTAAGTCTATATTTTTGGACAGTTATGTTGATCCAGGATCAACAAAAGATGTTGATCCAGGAACATGTCTTACTTGGCAAAATCACGGCGACCAGGAAATGGCTTGTGAAATCGGTTTTATCTTTTCTCAGTATATTTGAAAATTGTATCAAATGAAATGGTTAAATACTTGTGAAGTAAGCTGTCTGAGAAGCTCAGAAGGTTATGTGGAGTGTCAAACTTGCTCCTGAAGGGCCAACGTCCTGCAGATTTTAGCTCCAACTTGCCCCAACACACCTGTCTGAAAGTTTTTTAGTAAACCTACAGACCTTGATTAGCTGATTCAGGTGTGTTTAATTGGGGTTAGAGCTAAACTCTGCAGGACAGTGGCCCTCCAGGAGCGGGACTAGACTCCCCTATCATTTGGTGTGACAGTAGAAACTGAAAACACCACAAGCATCATGAAACTGCGCTGCTCATTCACTATGAGACACAAAACATGCAGACTTCATATTTGTTTTTGTGGTCAATAATAACAGACACTAGTTAGTCCATATTGCAATTCGAATTTCATTAATTGTATAACCTTGTTTTTAAATGTCACATTCCGGATTCTGTATTTTCGATTAATGATTGAATTATCTGCGCTTTCCACATCATGGAAACCATAGAGCCCTCGGTTGTGCAGTACAGTGATTTTACCACAGATAAAAGAGTATTCTTAAGCACAACACAAAGCGAGAGTGAATTTGTGGCGACATACATTCCAAATTTAACATTTTATAATTGCTCCTTGAGCTTGATTTGCTTACTCAGGCTTTCATTGTATCATTGCTTAAAACACATCATTCACAACAAGCTACTCTTACCCTCTCCTCTTCATCTTTTTTTTATCTTAAGCTTTCCATTACTTTTTTTCCCTTTCTCTCTGTCTCTGTCACTCCCACAACCCCATCTTACTTCTCTGCTTTCTTCCCATCCTGTTTTCACTTGTTCTCTCTCCTCCCTTTCCTTTCTGTCCCTGTAATTTTCTCAGAGGGGAGCTGACAGTGAGTTCTGATACATCCTCTGGCAAGCCAAAATTCTAGGGGAAGAGAACAGTTAGCATGAAAGAAACAAGCTCTTGCAGATTAATGAAGCCATTCGCCATTGTTCTTCCTTTACTGCAGGGTAATTTGCAAATAGCAATGTCACACTTCAAATGTTGGATACGGAAATAATCTTTCTCTACCAAGAGGCACTGGGACTCAACTTCCAGAAAGGTTGTTTCTTAAGGGGTTGCATCATACTCATCAATGCAGCATTCTCTGATTCCACTTTCAGACAGTGAAAGTGAAGGGTCTTTGCAAGGGAACACAAATGTGAATTTATGGTCTGCTGCTTCACCTCAGTGCTCTGACAAAGCTCCCACAATCCCACTTGGTCTGCATCTACCTCAGAAAGTCTTAGTTTTAATACTGACAGATCTTTTGGTGTCTGTCGCCTGCGAATGATGATTTTTAATGTCTCCTGAAAAGACCAAGATGAACGTTAATTTCACAGATGTGTCCAAGTTCAATTATTGAAACCAAATAACATTGTACATTTTTTCTTGATTGTTTTCAGCACGCGAGGACAATGTGGCAACATTCCGGGGTTCAGAATACTTCTGCTATGACTTGTCTCAGAATCCTATCCAGAGTAGCAGTGATGAGATCACTCTGTCCTTCAAAACTTGGCAACGCAACGGTCTCATCCTCCACACGGGCAAGTCGGCTGACTACGTTAACCTAGCGCTGAAAGACGGTGCCGTTTCGTTGGTCATCAACCTGGGCTCAGGAGCCTTCGAGGCTATCGTTGAGCCTGTCAATGGAAAGTTCAATGACAACGCCTGGCATGACATCAAAGTGACACGCAACCTGAGACAGGTAATCACTAGACGATGGCCGCTCTTAAGACTACTCACAGCTAGCTGGAGAACTAGTTTATGTTCTACTTCAAATATATTTATGTTGCATCTGGTTTATAATCAGATAATTATTTTTGTAACTGTCATTATTTAATTAAGACTGAATTTAGTTGCACTGTGATTTGTTACCTAGTTTCCGAATAATGAAAGAGTATGTTCTTATTTCCTCCTGTGTTTTCAAACCTTGAAATCTTTTATCTTTGTTACTTGACATTATTTAACACTCAAGGGCTTTCAGAAAACTTAAAGCTTGACCTCAAATCCTTTCAGTCTATGCTCCAAAGCTCTACAAGTGTCAGCGAACTTTCAAAGTTTTAGCAAATCACCTTGCTACTTTTTAGACAGTGGTCGACATTTGGTTGGCATTTTCCTTCAGCTTATGCATTTAAGCAAGGCACATGGAAGTCTGACTAAGCCAGCAGTTTGTTTAGGATCAAATAGCTTTGCAATGAATCCTAAATAGAGTTCTTTACTGAAGAGACTAGGAGCCTCATTTATAAAGATGCACCTAATCATTTTAAATTAACATACAATAATTTCCTAAATGTTCCTATAAACTCTTTACTGTATGCATGAATACTTGTTCTTAAATCAATTCTGCTTTATTATTGCAAAAAAAAAAAAAAAAAATTAAATAAATAAAATACATATATATTAAATACTGTGCAGAGGAACAGTAATTCATCTATATAATACCCTCAATGTCTTTGTATGGTGAGATGTAAGACAATAAAAAGCATAAGAGTCTAATAAACAGCAGTTGCAGCCTAATTTTGTCAACTTAACCTAATCAGTGATTCAATTTGAAATCACATTTTCATAAAACTTTCAAGCAAGAGCTTTTAGTGCTACTTGGTTTAGCCTGCCAGTTAAAACACAATAGACACAATGTAATACATGCTATTTTTTTTACCATTATTTCTCTTAATATTACTTAAAAATCATTATTTTCCTTGCTCTTAAAATGTTTGAGCATAGTCATAGCAGTGCACGTGTGGCCTCCTCATTCCAAATGCCCAGTATGCATATAGTAATACTAGAATTATTAACACTTAACATTTTTTTATAACTAAAAATTGTTAGGTAAGTTTTCCCTTTTTAACTTGAAGAGCCTTTCTAAATCCCAATTTGTTTCGCACCTTTAAAGTGGAATGAAATCCATAGCATTTAGGATGATATTGGATAGTATGTGGGTTTTCTAAATGAGGCCCCAAGTGTTCTCTTGTTCATGAAGCCTTTGATAAATTACCGTCAGTAAGAGTGTTTGTATCTGCTGGCCAGCTGTATGTCCATGGATTGGGTTTGAGTCTTCAGTGAGATCATGCTTGACTTGTTTGGCTGACCTTAAACTTCACTGGCAGGTGAGGGAGATTTATATGGAATGAAAATATGATGAGGGCTTGACAAGTAAGTGCTTTTTTCATGTCACTAATTTGTTCAGACTGGTAAAAGATATAGCACAATCCTCATGGGATGTTTTTTAGACTAGTGTATGAGCAGACAGACTGAAAGAGCTCTCTCTCTCTCACTCTCCCGCTATCTTTCTCTTTCTCTAATTCATGGGCATTGCTGTTTTAAAAAAAAATGTTGTGGATAGTTAAGCCAGGGGAGCACAGACAATCTGGTTGTGACGTCACAAAATAGTGGAGCCTAGGCTAATGAATATCATTTAGATTAAACACTAACAATTTAAAATGGCCTGTTGCTGTTTTGTTTTTTTTTCATAAGAAAATACTTTTAGAAAATACACCTCGCCGATGCCAACAAATAAAAGTACTTGATAATAGAAATGATAGGTTTTCTTATTGGTATTATTACCTAATTCAAAAATAAGTGTTGGTCAGTTAAAAAAAAAAAAAAAAGAGTTTTAAAAAATATTCCAAGTGCTCTATCATACTGCCAGTAATTAAATAGGGCAGTTTATGAATCAGTCCATGTTGTAATAAATTAGCTGTTTTTATTGTAAAGAAAATCTATTACACTATTTGAATATGCTGCAAATGCTATGTCACTCTGCAGTTGACAAAATTTGCATATTCTTTCCTTCATGACTATAAAAATTAATTAAATTAATTACTAAAGTAATGTATCTACCTATTTCGCAAAAGTATAAACTGTATACAAATATAAACAACAACATTATGATTAGAAATGTCTTTTAAACAATTTCAAAAGCACACAGAGTTGCTGTGTTTTGAAGTTCTCATAACAAAGGGATTTGAGGGAGCAGTCATTCTTCCTGATCCCTTTGAGGACTTAAATGTATTTGCAACATATTCACTTTAATAAAATGATATCCTGATATCTCCTCTTCAGATACTGTTGTTCCATTTTGTTTATGTTACAAATTCATTAGAATGAATAGCAAGCAGCAATAAAAAGATATATTTGACCCTGGACAACAAAACCAGCCATAAGTCGAAATTGAGATTTATACATCATCTTATACATCAATAAGCTTTCCATTGATGTATGGTTTGTTAGGATAGGACAATATTTGGCCGAGATACAACTATTTGAAAATCTTGAAAAGCAAAAAAATTAAAATATTGAGAAAATAGCCTTTAAAATTGTCCAAATGGAGTTCTTAGCAATGCATATTACTAATCAAAAATTAAGTTTTAATATATTTACAGTAGGAAATTTACAAAATATCTTCATGGAACATGATCTTTACTTAATACCCTAATGATTTTTGGCATAAAATAAAAATCAATAATTTTGACCCATACATTGTATTTTTGGCTATTCCTACAAATATACCCCAGCGACTTAAGACTGGTTTTGTGGTCCAGGGTCACATATTTTCAAAATTGACTAGCTAGTTTGGAGATGCATTTGTAACTTGACATACCATCTTAAAAAGGTAACAATTATGGTATATTGGCCACAAACTACATGATGCAATTGCATGCAAGACTAATGGTGTAGAGTGGTGTTTTTAAGATGGTGAATTTAATGACACAACTTGTCTGAGAGGCTTTTATCATGTTAAACATATAGCAAGTTAAGGACAGCACACCATCAGCATGCTAATTAAAACACTACCGTTAAAATCTAAAACTAGTCAACAATCTTTCTCACTAATTGGCTAGTCTATTGTTGGATGACTAGTCAAATAGTCAACCGTTGTGAGCCATCTCTACTAGCCATATGTCTCCACTCTAAATAATACCTACGCTCTCATTATACTGTACTTTTCCTCTTTAATCTTTCTTTCCCTTCCTGTTTCTCACATCTTGGGAAGAAACAGTTCTTGGGACTAACACTATTCATTCATGGGATCATTTTTATGACTAACCTGTTTCTAACCAAACTAATGTACTAACACCCTGAAGCTTCATCATTAATTTCTTTCTCTTTTAATTTCGTCCATTTATTAACAACCGTTCTGTTCACTATTGTTTTGATTTCCTTTCTTCCCCCCTTCTTCCTGAAAGCACTCAGGCATTGGACACGCTATGGTAAACAAACTACATTGTCTGGTAGATATCATTCTTATTGTCCTTTTTTGGTTTGCCGTGTGTCCCTCTCCCTTTCTTTCTTTTTCTTTGAGTTTCATTCTAGACACTCTTTTCAAAAAATGAGGAAATGGGTTTGTATTACCAGGAATTTTCACATTTCCCCCCTTTACCCTCCTCTCAAACTTCCCTCCCTTCTTTTACAGTTTTGTTTCTTATTGTTTTTTTGTTGTTTATCAGGCTGGCTTTTACGTTCCTCACATTAACGTTACATAGAGATTCACATCCTCACTGGGACTCTCACAGGAGCTAGTAAAATGTTTTTTCTCCCCACACCAAGCCTCCACATTTTTTGCGAGGACTGTCGGCAATAACTGACAGAGGATTTCCAAGAATGTCCACAAGGGAAACTTCCACCTTGCAGAGCCTCCCGAAAATAAACAAACACACAAGAGAAACTTAAGAACTCTGGGAACTCTGGCAGTTGATACCTCCACACCACTCATAGCATGTCCACATCTCCACCATCTCATTCAGCCTCATAAATCACTGCGACTAACACAACATTCGATTTATCACTCCCCTTCCACCCAAATCCCTTGTGTGTGTCTACCGCATGTTGTTTTGTGTGCCGTGTATCTTGTTGCATGGCCTTCCTGCTTCTTTATCTAGTTCTGCATGGGTGCTTGCTGTTTGGCTGTTGTGGCTTTGCTCCTCCCCCTTTTCATTGAACCAAAGAATCATCGATCCTTCTCATGTTTATTTAGTATGACCTTTTGAAAAATGATAAAACATTTGATTTTCCCAGTGGTTAATGCCTTCCTTTAATGCATGCATGTTCAAGTCTTGGTATGTGTCTGGACGTCTGTTTATGTGTGAGTGAGCGTGTGACAAAGTAGCGTACCCCCCAAAACTAAAACAAGTACAAATAATTTGTCCTTGGTTTTAACATTTACTAACCCTAATTAGCAATATTCCAAACCAGATAAAAATTCATTTTCTTAACCCATCAAAGATGAAGAAAATATTCATCAGCAATATTTTCTTTACCTGTCCCGTGAACCTATACTAAACTATCACCAATAAATCTTATCCAGACCAATGGTCCAGAGTGTTAGCATTAAGCGAACCGAAATAAGGACAAATCTGAACAAGATAGACCATAACAAACAATACAATAAGGTTATCGCTCAGGTTAAAAGCACATCTTGAAATGAGTTACTAATTTGTTGTCTTTTTATATTGTCATCATTTAACAGGTGACTATATTGGTGGATGGTATATTGACCACCACAGGATACACGCAGGAGGATTACACAATGCTGGGCTCAGATGATTTCTTCTATGTGGGGGGAAGTCCAAGCACTGCCGACCTGCCTGGATCTCCCGTCAGCAATAATTTCATGGGCTGCCTGAAAGAGGTGGGTCCAATAAGATTTGCATAATCGTGCGTGCATGCACGAACGCACACTGTGAAAGTGACATCATAAAAAGCCTGTCAGGATGTTAATGCCATTATAAGATGCAGAGGTCTTCACAAAGTATTTGTTCACTTAAGTCATGTTTAAAAATGTATGAGTTTCATTACATTAGATGAGAAAATATCAAACATGGCATCTGCATGCAAATTGCACTTTACCAGAACTAACTTCACTTTTCTACTCAATTATGTGTTTGCTTTTAGGCAACTGGTCTCATTGTGTTTTTTAATAGATGA